GCCCCGGTTTGGGAAGATCCCACATGCCGCGGAGCGGCTGGGCCCGTGAGCCATGGCCGCTGAGCCTGCGCGTCCGGAGCCCGTGCTCCGCAACGGGAGAGGCCACAACAGTGAGAGGCCCGCGTACCGCAAAAAAAAAAAAACAAACAACTCCCAGCTCCCACTAGGCCTGATGGCTACAATCAAGGACGACTTCTTATATACAATTTCATATTTAAATATGTATGAACATAATAAATATGAGTATGATATATGATATCATATGACATAACGTCATGCAATACAACACACCTCCAATTCTAGCAAGAGGTAACAAGCTTGCTAGGTAACAGGCTGTTCTGACTAGTCTCCTCGAATTCTCCTCTACCGCAGACCTCACTTTACCGCACTTGGCTTTACTGAACTTCGCAGATATTGTGTTTCTTACAACTTGAAGGTGTGGGGCAACCCAGCCTCGAGCAGGTCTGTTGGCGCTGTTTTTGCAACAGCATTTGCTCACTTCATACCTCTGTGTCACATTTTGGTCATTCTTTGCAATATTTCAAACTTTTTCATTATTCTTATATGTGCTATGGTGATCTGTCATCGGTGATTTCTGACGTTACTACTGTGACTCTCAGAAGGCTCAGACGATGGTTAGCATTTGTTAGCCATGAGGTATTTTTTAATTAAGGTACGTACATTCTTTTAGACATAATGCTATTGCACACTTGATAGACTACAGTATGGTGTGAACAGCTTTCACAGGCACTGGGAAACCGAGAGATTCGTGTGACTTGCCTTATTGCCGCGGTCTGGAACTGAACCCGCGATATCTCTGAGGTCGGCCTGTACATGTAACTGCCGTTCATTTATCCATCCATCTGTTCTACGGGGAGGCAGCACAGAGGATGCAATAAAACCAAGCACAAAGCATCTGACTGGAGTCTTAGCTCCACCACCTACTAGCTATGTGGCTTTGGGTAAACCATTTAATATCTCTCAGTTACGGTTTCCTCCTCTGTAAAATAAGGACAATGATAGGGCCTATTACTAGCATAGTCACAGTGATTAAATGACTAAATTAATCTGAGTGTTTGGCAAAAAATAAGCCCTCAAGAGTTAATCATAATTAACATTATGATTATTGAGGGTTAATCATAATTAACATTATGATTACATTATGTAATTATTATGACAATAATTACTAGGACTATAAAAGCATTCACTTATCTATCCCTATGTACCAGACTGGGCAGCAAATCACTTTAGCCTTCTGATTTTGCAAGAGTCTTTATCGGGGCATTAGATTTCTCAGGGCAACGCCTCCCATATAACCTCCCTCCTGCCGGGGAAGATGATGGTAGGCCCGAGCACCAGGGCCATTTACAGCCTGGGGAACCCCTTCCCAAAGCCATGTTTAAACAATTATGAGCATTATGTTGCAGGTACCCATGACCATAGGAGGCCAGCCCAGCACGGTGCTCATCTTGCAGAGACGTCTTTTGTGTGGGTTTTGGGTTTCAGCTGGGCAACGCCAAGCCATAGAGTGAGTCGCAAAACGAGTTTTCATAAGCTCACCCTGTCACAAACCAGGCAGGGGTTCATGCTGACATCCCCACAGTAAGATTAAACAGCATGCTTCGTCAGGCACTAAATACTAACACAGCTCCGACGTCAGGGGGACACTGATTAAAACTGATGTCAATAATTTATGAAACACAATATGGTCTTCAGATGCTCTTTTTTTAAAAAAAGGAAGAGGGGTAAAAGGGCCTAGCAACCCAGGTGGTTTAAAACTGTTCATGCATTTTCTCTTGAACGTACACCCCCCACCACCATGCACGGATGCTTCTTTACACAATGAATATAAATGCACATGTGTGTAAGAGCATGTGAACGCTGCTGATACATATGGGCGGAAGAAAGTATTTAGTTATTCCACGGAGAGCTGTCGAGGCCGTAACGTTATACATAGTCTTCTCTTTCATATTGTTTTGGGTTTTTTCTTCTCCGGAAGAAGTCCAAAATTGCATTTAAAATAAAATTGGACCTTACAAAAGTTCATGTTTATTCCATAGAGAACTTAACCTTGAAACAACCCCAAAAAGAAAGTTGGACCAAAGAAAACCGATAGGATATATGCATTTCTTAGTAAACCGAAAGCACCTCAGCCCTGTGTAGAACCATTTAGTCAAATAATAATATCGATTTTTTTCCAAGTTTTAGGACTGGGGGAGGGAGCGGGGATGAGAGGGTTAACCTAGGGAACGATGCCACTTTATTATGTCATGTCTTTTTATTTTAGAAAGGCAAAGACCGTGATAATGCTTCATTTTTAATCAAAACTCATTTCGAGAATTAAAAATAGACTTTGCCTTAGTTGTAAATAATCTGGGTAGCTTGACTTAATATGTCAACAGTGTGAAATTCACAAGATGGGATTATGTTGGGGAAAAAAATCTGAGCCGCTGAGAGTACAAAAGTTAGTGTTTGAAGGATTCATTAATGCTTTTTCCTAGCACAGTGCCCTGTAGTGTCTCAGAACACCTGTCAAATACTAATTCATTCACATATCTCCACTTCAGGGCCTTTTCATAAAAAGCTCGACCTTTAATTGTAAATCACTTCTAAATTGTCTTTGCTGGCTTTCTCTTTTGCGGAATGATGGAAAAATCACTAAGACTTCAATTAAGACTTTATGGGAAGTCAACCTGACATTCCCGAGGCTATATCTACAAGGTATCAGAACATCTATTCAAAAAGGAAACTATAAATAACTTTAACATCGTTGAATTGGCTTGGCTTTTATGAGATGACTGAATAATTGGCAAGATTTAAAGATACTTTAACTACTGAGAATTAAAATAACTTCAGTAAAAACCAGAAAATATTGCTAGCCGATTATTTGTCATGTAGATTATGTACTTATTAGGCCTAATTAAACTTTTTGAACAAAAAGGCTTACTAATTACGTTAGTTAATATGTTGATTGCTCAATTTGGTTTAAAAAAAAAAAAACCCAGTCAATCCAATTTGTGCACAGAGTTAGTGCTTTGGTCAAAAGACAAAATCCTCGACTATAGAAATTATTTCAAGTACACGGCCATTGTTATAACAATTGCGGGTTACATAAACTGACAGGGAGAGATGGGGGTGGGTGGTATCTGAACAATACCACCCCTGCTAAGAGGAATCTTCAAGCCAGTAAAATGCTACCGTCATAGCCAGTTTATCTGCCTCGATGTATTCACTTGTGTTTTTTCCAATCAGACCCTGCTGGTGACAATGAGAAGTTATCTTTCATATGCACATACATACTAAAACTGATAGCAAAACCCTGGGAGGCCTTTTAAATCTCAATAAAAGGTTTTTACGCACAAAAGGAAGAAAAGAAAAGAGGAAAGGGGAGAAGAAAGAGAAGAAATGGGAAAAACCAACAGTTCTGAAGGAATGGAGCAGATCAAAGGAGTTTTAATTCTCCAAGACGACTAAGCCGGGGTGTAACCACTATCTCGCCACCGAATCCTGAAAAGTCTCTTCCAACAGGCAACCAGTTCCGTCCCTTAAAGTGGGGGGAAGGACAATTAGGTCTGCAAAAGCGTACACTTGGAGTGCAAAGATGGAGGCCCCGCCACGCAACAGGAGAACAGCCCTCTTCAGACCAGGACGCCTGCCTGGGCCTCAGCGCCGACCGGGCTTCTCCAAAACATGTTTTCCATTCCAAAAGTCTACATCCACAGTCATGAGGCACAAACTATTCGACAACAACATGACACAATTAATCAGAACCAGACCTCAAAACGTGTGTTTGTGGGGACCAGCAAACTTTGTAATGTGCCTCAGAGGCCGAAGCAATTGAAGAGACTCACACCGGCTGTGTGGGGCTGGGGGGAGGGGGAGAAAACATCTATATTCCACGCAAGATGAACACCCAAGGGCGTACTGACCAACTATATTGACGATTGACGTTGATGATTTTCATTAAAATAAAACATGAGATTTGGGCATTTACATCTCATGCTGGAAAAGCAAAGTATGGTCTTACTACCTTTCCCCTCCTTTTTTTTTTTTTTTTTTTTTTTGTCCTCCTGGGGAGAAACTGATGCCGCAGAGTTTCTACAGCAGCAAAGTCGTATGATTCAGAAACAGAACGGATCCTTTTTTTTTTTTTTTTTTTTTATTAAAGCCTCATTTCCAACCAGTATCCACCAGTGCCGGGTTTGTCAGATTTCTCTTTCAGGAACCGAAACGCCATGAAATCGAGAATCTGGGCCCTTAGTTAATTCGGAACTGTTTAATTTCACCGAACCCTGACGCTAACAACAACAAAAAAATCTGGTATACTTCTTTTTTGGAGCGGGATTGAATTAGTTTAAAATAATTAGTGAACTCTCTTTTGTAATCTGTAGATAGTAATTAATTTAAATCACATCATTCTTTTGCTAACACAAACAGGCTGTCCAGAAGAAAAATATATATCTATTTTCAAACCATAAAAGACAAATGGAGGACGCAGGAGTGATAGTCGCCGTGTACCGAATTGGCCCCAAACTGCAAATCCCTTTGCCATCTCCCAAGGGATTTGTGGTCGTGGAGCTGGAACTTCCCGGGAACCGGGCCGGGTTCCCCAACAGCGCGCGCAGCTGCAGCCCTAGGGGAGGGGGGGTGGGGCGGAGGTGGACGCCAGGGTCCCGTCAAACTGAGGGGAAGGCACAGAGTGTGTGCCTTTGGATCTGGGGTTAGGGGTACCGGTCGGCAAATTTTCTGCAAAGCCCCCTCCTCGCATCTTGGCTTCGCACAGCGCAGTGAACGCAAACCCGAGCGTCCACGGCCGGCGCCACGAGCGCGAGCGGACCAGCTCTCTGCGCTCCGCGGTGCAGGATTTCCACGTACGCGCCTCCCACCAATCCCACCACATCAACGAAGCGGGCAATCCTCGGGAACCTTCGGTCGCGAGGCCCGGGAGCAGCCGCCCGGGTCCCCGCCCGCCGCCCACGTCCCCGCGGTGCCCCACTCACCCACGCACTCGTTGGCCTCACGGGCTGTGGCGCGCTGCCAGGGCCGGTCGTAGTGAAAGGGCTTGCAACGGTCGCACTCCGGGCCGGCCGTGTTGTGCCTGCAGTCGCACACCAAGCTGTCGTCGCGGTCGCGCACGCAGCGGGCCGCGTGGCCATTGCACTTGCAGCGGCCGCCCACCTGCAGGTCGGACACGGCGTAGAAGTACGAGTCGCGCGCCAGCTCTGAGTCGTCCTCGTTCTCGTCGCCGAACGTGTGCAGGCGGCTGAAGGCCACGCGGATGTCGGTGGCCGTTACCCAGTCTTGCAGCACGGGCGAGTTGTCGAAGTCGTGCGCCGAGGGCCGCCCGTCCAGCGTGCTGAAGGCGATGAGGCCGCCCGAGAGCGGGCGCATGTCGGTGTGCGAGTCGGTGCACACGGCCTCCTGCTCGTTCTGCTTGGTGATGGGCGCACGGTGCGGCCGGTTGTACATCTTGCGGCACTGAGTGGAGTAGAACTGGAAGGGCACCCACGTGCGCCCGTAGTCCATGGACTTGTAGATGGCCATGGACTCGGGCCGTGGCGAGCAGAACTGCAGGCTCACATAGGTCACCTCGAACTTCTTGCCGAGCGACAGCGTGAGCGTGACGTTGTGCGGGAACTGCAGGTAGTTCTCGGACTGCCAGCACGTCAGGTTGTGCGGGTTGTTCAGATCCGTGAGGAAGGCGGGCGGGTGCGCCTTCTTGGGGTCCGACGCGTTGCAGAGGTGGCAGGAGCGCAGCCGCTCCTCGCCGCGCTCGCTCACCACGCAGTAGCGCCCGGCGGGCCGGCCGCAGGTGCTGGACACGCGCACGTCCTTGCCGAAGGCCGCGTTGACAAAGTCCGGGATGCAGCGGCGCGGGTGGCCGTTCTCGTCCGAGCAGGGGTCGGGCTGCGCCGCCTGGCCGGCGAACATGCTGAGCCCGGGCCCGCCGCGCACCGCGCCCACCAGGCACGCCACCGCCGCCAGCGCCGCCAGCGCCTCCCACACTGCGCGCATCATGCTGCGTCCAGCCTGCCCCGGCCCCGCCGCGCCGAGGAGTCGGTCCGCCCGCCGCAGAAGGCGCCTGCGGAGAGAGAGGAGCCGCGCTCAGCCAGGCCGCCCCGCGCCCTCCACCCCACGGCGGGGCGGCGAGCGGGGGCGCGGGCGAATGCCCGGCTTCCCCCGCACCAAGCCCGCGGCCGAACGAACTCCCGCCTCGCTCCCCCGCGTCCCGGGGGGGCAGGCGAATCCGGGGGCCCCAAGCCCGCACCACCCGCGCCTCTCTTTCCCGGCCGGCGGCGAGCCGGGGCCGCCGGCCATCGCTCGGCTTCCCCGCCGCCCGAGGGTCCGGCCCGCGCCCGTCCGCCCGTCCGCGGCCGGCCTGCCAGCACCCCAAACTCGGACGCAGGACAGCTCGTGGGCCCCCCCGAGCCCGCACGGCCCGAGCACCCTCCTCCCGCAGCCCGGGGTCCCGCTCAGCAGTCCCATATCGCACCCCCGCCGGCGAGTCCGCGTTCGGGACTTTACCTCAGGAGAGGGCAAAAGAGAAAGAAAAGTTTGCCCGGCCCCGGCCGGGGAGCCTGCGCGCCGGACGGCGGAGAGCCTCTCGCTGGCTGCTAGCAGGAGCGCCCTGCCTCAGCGCGGGCTTGCCAGCTCCATGCCCGGCGCGGCCGCCGCTGCCCCAGCCCCGGCCCGGCCGCCGCCGCCGCCTCTCCCGCCCGAGTGACGACGCGGCCGCCCGGCTCCCGGCGCTCCCGCCGCGGTGCGAGTGCCGCCCAGCCCGCGCCCGGGGCGCACACACACTCCCGCTGGCTGGCGCGCACTCACACACGCACGCACGCCCCCGAAGGCTCCGCCGCCGCCGCAGCCGCCACTCGCGCAAGGAGTGGGGGGCGGAGGGGAGCGCGGGGGCGGGGGGCGGGGCCGCCGGGCGGGGCGCCGGCCAATAACGTCGGCGAGCAGCCGCCCGCTCGCTCGCAAAGTTTTAACCCCGGGAAAGAAGAAAGTTAAAGGGAAGCGGCCCAGGACCCGGAGAGAGCGAGGACACGAGCGGGTGGGAACCGGGGCGCCCGAGAAGGAGAAGCAGAGACAAAGGGAAAGCAAGGAGAGCGCCCGGGGAAACCCCGGAGAGGGGGCTGGGCCCGGCGCGCACCCCGCGGAGGGAGGAGGGGCCGGCCGCGGTCTGTCCGCGTCGCCCAGGCCCCGCGCTGCGCGGAGAGCCCCGCAGGTTTCCGCCGGCCCCACGCCCGGGGGAGCGCGCAGGCCGGGGGGAGGGGGCGATTTACTCCCTCTTGGTCCCAGGCAAACACATCTGTGTTTGTTTTCTTTGCTGCGCCGGGGTCGGGCCTTCCTCTAACCCGGCCTGATGGCCCCGGTGGCACCGCGCACAGGGCCGTGCCCCGTGGGCAGACAGCCCAGGATCGTAAGGAAGAGCCGAGGAAGATGGAGCCTCCGCTGGCTCACCCCTCCCGCCCGAAGCCCCTGGGGTCCGGAGAGAAAGAGCTGCTCCCCCGCCCCCCTCCCCACAGTTGTCACCGTGCGGTGGGCCTATCTGTCGGGAAAGCTGCCCTTTTCCTGCCCGGGGAGCTGTGGTGGGCTGGAGGGTGAAGAGGGAAAAAAGCGGGACGGCACCTGGGCACTGGCCAACGCCCCTCCCAGACGGCTCTGTCAGGCTCAGGCTGGGGGCAGCCTAGCCCTTCCCAGATCCAGAGGCAGCCCTGTAGGTACTTGCTGGCTCAGTGTTGAAGGGTGCTGTGGTCCATACTGTCTTGTGGGAGCCCACAACAGCTTTGCAGAGTAGGTATTAAGCTTCATTTTGCAGATGAGGAAACTGAGGTCTCAGGAGGTGAAGAAACTTGCCTAAGATCTGCCAGCTAGTAAACATCAAATCCAGGCATAGAAACTTGGCTTCTTCCTCTCCTCACACTTGTCAAATGGATAATCCCACCCAATTCGAGTCTCATGGGGCATCCTCGGGGCCACCCAGCTTCTCCTTGCCTCCTTCTCTGCCACCTTAACGAAAGGGGGGAGGACAGTAATAGCATCCTTTGACCATCTTGCAGCAGCAGCCAAAGCACTTTGGGAAAAGAATACACGGGGCTGAGAGTTTGGAACTGAATTGCGGTTGTTACTTTTAGATGAGTGAGCTAGTAATAGACCTGGCTTGAAAGCCCAGGGTCCTGGTTCTGGCCCAACAGCTGACTTGCTGCATTCACTCCACTGAGTGCCTCATTTTGTCTTACTGGTATTCTCATAAACTCTGGGAATCTAAAAAGGGACCTCAGGGCTAGCCTGGCCCAGCTCAGTCTCTTTGGACCACGGCCTTCCCCAGCCTCCCTGAGAGACAGCCATCCTAGTTCACTGCACCCTTGGGCTGCGGTGAACTTCCAGGGATGGGAGTTCACCGCAGCCCAAAGAAAGAAATCCATTCCATTGCAGGACAGCCTGGACTCATCCCCTCCCCTGGCGTAACATTTTAACTTTGCCTTCTTGTGCCATGTACCACTCTCCACACTATTTATCTATGCCTTGCCTTGTGGCAGAGGGGGATTTCAGGTGACTTACAAGGTACTTAAAACAAGGCAAAATAACATAAATTAGAAAGTGAGGGGGAAGGAGATAAACGTTTCTCTTTTTTTTTGATGTTTAACCCTGTGGACTGTGAAATCCCAATGGCGTACTGAAAGGCAACACAGCAGTCAAGGAGCACAGGCTTTGGAGCCAGAGTGTGACCTTGACAAGTTTTGCATCTTTCTGTGCCTTGGTTTCCTCATTTGTAAAAGGGGGCAACAATCTCTATCTCACAGGGTTGTGAGCATCAAATGAGTTAACACATAAGAACATTATAGCTTATAATATGTGTAATAAATATTGTACTTAGATCATCTACATGGGTGTACCGTCGTATAAATTTATATGTAAATGTACATAAAACCAGGCACACAGTAAGGGGATGTAGAAATGTTCATTGGTAGTATTAAATTGCTAGCTCTTCATAGAAATTTCAAGTTATTTAAAGAAGAACATTTAATCACATGGAAAGACGTTCGTGACATATTATAAAATGAAGAAAGGAAATTACAAAACACTATGCCCCCCAAAAAACACTAGGCACAGTATACTCTCATTTTTATTTTTTTTAAAATATGCATAAAAAGACAACATTGCTAATTGTGGGTATCTCTGGATAGTGAGATTACTGGTGATTTTTGTTTATTTTTGCTTCCTGTTCTTGATCGTGTACAGTAAAATAAGGAGAGCTAAGAGGAGAAAAACCAAGAGGGAAGGCAAAGTAGAGATGGGAATAAAGGTGAAACCCTCCCTGGGATGCCCTATTCATCTTCTGGGAGTGGGCCACAACTTTGTCCCTAAGCTTTCCCACAGCCAAAGTGAAAAGGAGACTATGTCAGTTACACAATTCCAAGTGTCCATGAGTTAAAAACAGACGTATTACTCAAGAGAATTACTACTCTTGGTACTAAAATCAGACAGGAATTTCTCCTGGGGGGCCTCATAAAGAGAACACAGTGCGAGGTAACAAGCAAACATCCTCACCATCCCTAAACCTCTCGGAGGGTTGCTGTGATGGGCCATAATGTAAGCCAACAGCATCACAACAAAACACAAGTCAGGAAGACATCCTGACAAGGATGGGTCTGGAAGAGGTACACTGGGGTACCCCACTCACTGCCCACCCAACTTGGTCTACTTTGGAGTATCTTCAAGACTGGATTGCCCAGCGTTCTGAAGCTTTTTCTTGCTATGTTGTTTCTGTCCCAGAGCTTTTGATGGACGTTGTGTGGCAGCAAGTTCGAAATTATCCTCCCTGGGGTGCACCTCGCCAGCGAGCTTAGGTCAGTGGTCTTCAGGAAGCATGTGCGTATGGGAGGTGGGGCACTTTCCACTTTTATTGTGATCACTTAGGTCTAAGCTTATCTTCCGCAGTGGATCCTGGTGGGTAGGACTGTCACCTTGCATCATGGAGGTCCACAACGTTCTGGGAAAACCCTCCTCCCTGCCACTTGTACAGTTGGTTCCATTCCAATTCCACACAGCCGCCTTGACCAAGGCTCTACCTCTTCACCTCTTCAAATGTTGGAAATCAGCCATCTATCATCCCTCAGTTTTCTTTCTTCTAGGTAAAATGTTCCCAGTTCTTTTTTTTTTTTTTTTTTTGGCCACACCGTGCGACATGTGGGATCTTAGTTCCCCAACCAGGGATCGAACCCGTGCCCCCTGCAGTGGAAGCATGGAGTCTTAACCACTGGACCGCCAGAGAAGTCCCCCAGTTCTTTTTTTTTTTTTTTTTTTTTTGCGATACGCGGGCCTCTCACTATTGTGGCCTCTCCCGTTGCGGAGCACAGGCTCCGGATGCGCAGGCTCAGCGGCCATGGCCCACGGGCCCAGCCGCTCCACGGCATGTGGGATCCTCCCGGACCGGGGCACGAACCCGTGTCCCCTGCATCGACAGGTGGACTCTCATCCACTGCGCCACCAGGAAAGCTCCCGCAGTTCTTTTAATGAGTTCTTGCAGGACACTTTGCCAACCGCTCTGCAGCCTCTCTTGACGCCTTCTAATTCGTCAGTGTCCCTATAGCATACTGCCCTTTGAGGGGACAAATGCAAAAAAACAGATGTCCAAGTGTGGTGAGAGCTTCTCAAAGTGGGGGTTATAAATACACACCCAAAAAGGCGTGTCAGGCTCTGAGTGGCAGGATTCACAGTACAAACTGGTGTTTCAAAACACAACAGTGAGGCTCTTGGGTGAGAAAACACATTCCCAGGTGTTTGGGCCAGGAATGCGATCAGGAGGCGGAGCCAGCGTTCTTGGCATCAAGCCTTTCGTGGGAAGCCTGAGGATCGCCTGTGCGAGACAAAAATGTGGCCGTTTCATGAAAACTTATAAGTAGCCAGAGTAGGGGCTTCCCTGGTGGCGCAGTGGTTGGGAGTCCGCCTGCCGATGCAGGGGACACGGGTTCGTGCCCCGGTCCGGGAAGATCCCACATGCCGCGGGGCGGCTGGGCCCGAGAACCATGGCCGCTGAGCCTGCACGTCCGGAGCCTGTGCTCTGCAACAGGAGGGGCCCCAGCAGTGAGGCCCGCGTACCGCAAAAAACAAAAAACAAAAAACAAAAAAAAACAAAGAAGTAGCCAGAGTAGGAGGGAGAAAACGGGGAGACTCAGGCGTCCCAGACACCAAGGGGCAGCAAGTTCCAAGGAAGGAGGGGCGGTGAGCGGTGTTGCATGCCTTCAAGGTCAAGATAAGATCTGAAAGAGTACTTTGGATTGAACTACAAGGAAGTCCTTGGTGACCTTGCCTGGTAGTGGCAGAGGAGTGGTGGGGACAGAAGCCAGACCACCCCAGGTTATAGAGTGAATGGGAGGTGAGAAAGTGGAGACAGCAAGGATAGACAACTTTCCAGAAGTGTGAAAACAAGTGGCAGGAAAGAGATAGGGTGATTGGAAGGCGACATGGGATTGAGGGAAGGTTGGGATTTTTTTTTATTGTTGTTTATAAGATAAGGCTATTTGAACAGGCCTGAATGTTGATAGGAAGCAGAAGGAGGTTGAAGACGGATAAAAACTAGCCTTGTAAAACAGGTGGTCAGGTGGTCCGAAAGCGTCTCTTGTTACAAAAGAATAGGAAGTAATGCCACCTGCCGAGAGCGAGGGAGCAGATTTGGAAAGGCAGGAAGTCTTGATTGGGTCATTATGGAGAAGGGGATAATGCTTGCTGGGCAGAATTCAAAGACCTACCGCAGTTGGTGACCATCTACAAGAAAGAATGCCACCCAGCAAAGTCATGCCCAGCAGTGCTCAGCGGCCCCTGTGCAGAC